TAGATCATTGTATGTGGTCCACATTTCTAAGTAGCTCTCCAAATGAAGTTTGAGGTTGACATCTTTGAAACAAATTTTTTTCTTTTAACCGTTCAAAAATGATAGAGAATAAAAATGTCTCCAGGCTCTTGTAATATCTGTTTTGATGAACTGTGAAGGCATGCAACCATTCCTTCTTTGTTTGTTAATTTCCAAACAAAGCTTCATTATATCTACATCTAAGAAATCGTGGGTGCTCCATCACTGGAGATTTTTAAAAAGAGGCTAGACAGTCACTTGTCTGAGAAGGTATAGGTTCTCCTGTTTGAGTGGGGGGCTGGACTAGAAGACCCCCAAGGTTCTGTTCTATTCTATTCTGTTCTATTCTATTCTATTCTACTCTACTCTACTCTACTCTACTCTACTCTACTCTACTCTACTCTACTCTACTCTACTCTACTCATTATGTCTCAGTAATGTGACTATGACTCCGTTTTGCACAAAAGCAAAGTCCCAGGTTGTGTTTTTCGTTTGGAAGATGCAGTTTTTACCAAGGGTTTAACATTCTTTCGAATCATATGCTGTCACTTCCTTCTCGCATTCTTGGAAATCTAAATACAACTTCATTGGTCTTTTTCTCTGAGCTGTTTAGCCTGAATATATTAGTTTAAAAGAAGGAAAAAGAGGTGGTGGTGGGAAGAGCGGGGAGGCAGGAAAGGAAGGAATCCGATCATTAAAAAAGAAAAGAAAAGAAAAAAAATCAGGAATGAAGTCCTTAACAGTGCTCTCCATGAAAGATTGCACATATCTCTGCCTTTATATGCAGACACACAAACAGATATACATGGACATATATGGACACACACACACACACACACATTATGGTGGTGATGCCATTAGTCTTTCTCTAAATATTAACCAATATAGCAATGCCCGTATTTTCTTTTCTTATACAGTGTTTCCTGGCTTAGGTTAAATTTTAGTGTAACTTTGCGAACGGCTGACTAGATCTTGTATCCTAGTGGGCAATCTTTTAGCTTGGATGGGGGTGTTCCAATTATTTTGCTCCCTGGGCATTTCATTCTAAAAATAGCTTTTTTGGCAAAATTCTGGTGTCCTGTCTCCTCTTCCTTTGTGCATATAACCAAGCACTACTTTCTTCTTTAGGAATACAACCAGCTGGATACTTTTCTAGAATTCTCCGTTCGTTTCCCTTCTCTGCAGTATCTGATTTCTGTCTCTTCGGCTTCTTATAATTGCATATACTCACTGCGTATGCTTAGGCTTCAAGGGGCTGTTTTTATGGCATTCTCCTTCCTTTCATTTTTCCCCCCTTATTTTTCTCCTCACCATGCGTCTCTTAAAAATGGTCTTCACCGTCCTAAGCCCTCTAATTCCCTCTCTTTCCATATAGATGGCATCCTTTAAGTATCTAAGAGCTGGCACTCAGAAAATAAGTAGGCTATTAGTATTACAACAGAAAATTAAGCACGGTAATGCAAACTCTGCCGGGACACGTAAGCAGAAACATGGAATGCAGATGTCCTGCGGCCAGCCATTCCTCACGGCATCTTCACCAGACTGTGGCTTCCAACACATTATGTAGCGCAAAGTTAAGGAAGCTGGTAGAGAATGCCAACAGTGACATTTTCATGTTGCCATCTTTTCCAAACCAGATGATTTTGAGTATAGTTGTCCGCAGCACTCATACATCCATGTGCCAAAATGTCGTGGGTTGTAGTAAGCACGGAACTTAATTAAGGATCTTCACTCAAGGTAACCTTTTGGTGTGAAATAGTGGCTAGAAAGCGGCATTCTGGATGAAGACGTTCTTGACTAAAACCTCATCTCAGGTTGGGAAGGCCTAGATGTTTTTTTTTTAAAAAAAAAAAAATCCTCACTGTTGGTCTCAACTCCACTCCCATACTTTGGGGGCTTACAATGTTGACTGTGTAGAGCAGTGGTTCTCAACCTTTTTAATCCCACGACCCCCAACCGGTCGTAAGTCGAATACTCAACCGGTCGTAAGTCGAGGACTACTCAACTGTCGCAGCACCGTTTGCAGAATGGGACTTTTGGCGGGCTCAGCAGGGCAGAGACAGCCTGGATAATTCCTATTGGCTTTTGAAAGCCAATAGAATTAGACTCTATTCAAGAGAGTCTATTCTATTGGCTTTCAAAAGCCAATAGAATAAAAGGGAGTAGCACAGCTAAGGAAAAGGGGGGGAAAATGGCGGACTGCGTTGTTTGGCGACCCCTGTGAAATGGTCGTTCGACCCCAAATGGGGTCCCGACCCACAGGTTGAGAACCGCTGGTGTAGAGTATTTTAACTGCTACAAGCAACTCTTGACTTCATGAGGCCCTCGGTTACAAAATGTGGGCTCCACAAAGCTTCAGATTCAAGCAGTCTACTCTTCTGTTGTGTTCCCAACCAACAGGGCTTCCAAGATTTCTGAGCAAAGAGTGAACTAGTCATTTGTTATTTTTTTTCCTACTGACCTACTGGAGTTGGTTTGCTGGGAGGGAAGATATAATAATTCTGATAAATCAGTAGATGCACCTAAGTAATTCAACAGCCTAAAGGGTTACCTGGCGAACAGCAAGTAAACTGAGGTTCCGTCTGCTTCTCTTACCCGATTAGCTGTTGTGATCAGATTGCTGATACCCTATTATTCTTGTACATGTGAATGACGTCAAATGCAAATGTCACAGTGAGCTGGCAGATGAATGTGCCAAGCTGAAATTAGAATGTAGGTGTCAAAGGAATCTTACTTTAAAAGTCCACTTGGGCAGCTAGTTCTTCTCTTAGTAAGAAGAGTAGTGGTGGTGACGTTGAAGGACAAGCGTTTGGATGAGTTAAGATGAGGCAGATGTTGATTTGTCGCCTGTAGACTAGCTGGGAAGAAAGAGGGACAGAGGGAATGTGGGGCCCTGGATAAACTATGCCAATATAACAATTGGGGCAGGACCAGGTGCCATTGCTGCTAATCATAGCTATTTTAGCTTGAGTAGTAAGAACATGCTGTGCTGCAAACCTATTGTTGCAAAATCCTCCTGATGTGAGAACTTGGTGCATGAAAAGTTAATCACATTTCCCCAAGGAAAACAACATAGGTTTTGTATGCACAGAGTGATCAAGAATGAGCTATGAGCATGTTCAATCCCATGAGAGCAGTGAACAACAGCTGTCCTAAGTGTCTGGAGAATCTTGGTCATCCAGGTCATAGTTGCATCAAAGGTGCTCTTCCAAAAGGCAACTGGGAGAAGAAGAAGAAGAAGAAGAAGAAGAAGAAGAAGAAGAAGAAGAAGAAGAAGAAGAAGAAGAAGAAGAAGAAGAAGAAGAAGAAAAAGAAGAAGAAAAAGAAAAAGAAGAAGAAGAAGAAGAAGAAGAAGAAGAAGAAGAAGAAGAAGAAGAAGAAGAAGAAGAAGAAGAAGAAGAAGTTTGCTTTCTTCTTTCTCCTTCTTTTAGAATGTTGAAGCTTCTTGGATGAAAAGCAAAACAAAATTTTCTTCCTTCTCAAGGAAAAAACCCAGTCCAGTTGCCTTTTGCAAAAGCATCTTTGAGATAGCTCTCTTAAACTTGTTGGATCACAACTCCCAGTATCAGTCATAGGGAGAGTTCCTTCTAAAATCTTTCCCACACCCTCCCTTTTTCTGTGGGATGAGATATCTTTACCATACAGGTTGTCCAGTTCTCCCTCCTGTCTCCCAAGGTCATTCTTACATACCATTACGCATAGAGACAACAACATAAGGATGGGGACCTGCTTCACTATCTATATTTATTTAATCCCACTCTGCTTCCTGAAGGTGCCCAGAGGGGCAAATAAATCAATCAAAATAACAGTTATTAAAACGCCAATCTGCCATAAAACTTGATGCTAGCGATCCAGTACAGATTGGACTGGATTGATTCAGAGGTTGCGGTGAGACTTGTGACTTCAGTTATAATCTGGACTACCTTCCCTGGAGATTGAAATACAGATTCTGGAATGGGAGCTCAGTGGAAAACAAAAGGGTGAAAGCCACAAGAGGCTCTTCTGGATATTCATTGATATATTCATTCAACTGACCAAAGAATAACAAACAATTGTATTTGGACCCAGCTTCTGGAGACCATGTGCCTTAATTTCCATATGGTAAAAATCTGGACATTGTGGGGGAAAATATCATCTGCTTCTGGAGACCAAGTGCCTTGATTTCCACACTGTGAAAATCTGGATATTGTAGGTGGAAAAAATACCATTCAAATAACTCCTGCAGTAGCCTTCATTTGTGTGAATATAGAAAAAGTAGGCAGAACTTTGGGTCATCATAGGGAATATAATTCATGTTAAATTTGAACAGAATTTTTTTTTGGGGGGGGGAGGAGTAGCCTGTAAGACTAAAGGTTTTGCTATTAATTATAAAAAAACAATTTGGATCTGCTGTTTCTTAAAAAATAAAAACAAAAAAGGCCGGAGGACTCTCTTGGCACAACCGAAAGAATTTGACTTGAGTTGTTTCTGCTTTGAAAGGCATGCTGGCGTGAGATGTGTGTGCTTTGTATCATTGTCGTTAATGTCCTATTTTTAACGTCCTGACGGCCAGCCAATTTTAAGCACGGCCAGTATGCGGTGTTGGCCAACGTGTGTACATTTTGTATTTGACAATAACACCCTATTTTTTTTTTTAAATTGGGGAGAATTTAACTTTGCTTCAATTCCCCTTTCAGTTTTCCCTTTTTTCCCCTTTCTTTGAAAAGAATCACTTTATAAGCTGTTTTTCTCGCACCATCAGAAAAATCCGATACAAAATTCTAACTTTCCTCTCCTCGGGACGAATCTCGACTATTCAGCTGCTGCCCATTCTTAAGATGCTTGGTTATCAACAGCCTCTCAAGGGAAGAATTTTAAATGGTTTTGTGACGGCAAGAAGGCTGCTGGGGAGGGATTCTTTAAGCTGACTGCCAAGTTGTCACCAACCTCATCACTGCATGCATGTAAGAAGAAAACAGATAATACGAAATAAGAGTGGGTTACATAGCAGCTAATAGATGACATGTTCTTAGCAGGTTCTAGAATTTTAGTTTCATCCCAAAGGACGATATAATTTCCAAGCACTGCCCTTTAATTTCAACAAGTAAAGTGCCAGCCCACTGAATCTCTTCCCATTGGAATGTCTGAAAGGGCCCTGAGGTCTTAAGAAGCGTTTATAAATAGGCCTCAGGTGACCATTGTGTAAACACAATGGACAAAAAACTCAACCTTATCAACGAAAAGGTAGACAAGCTGTTGCATTTCCAAGAAGACTTGACCGAAAAAATCTGGAAAGTTAACGAAGGCATTGATGATTTGGAAAAAGGCCTCCATCAGCTAAGCGCATCACACTCTCCTGTGGACCCAATCTGTGGAATTCATCGCAGCAAAGATGGTGTCCAGCAGGTAGAAACTCAGAATACGTACACCGAGATTTTGAACCTGGTGAAAGCAACGCGTCATGGTGCTTCCAAGTACCAGGAAAAAATGGAGAAGGTGGAGACAGCTGTGGATGCTATTGACAAGATGGTGAAGTGTTTGGAAGAAATGTTCAGAAACTCAAAGATGGTGGACTTCATTTTGAAAGGGTGTGTTCCTTGGTGGAAAGGAAGCTTGCTTGAAATCCTGGAAGAGGTGAGCATCTTCACATTCCCTATATGGGAATCTTTAATTTTCCCATATTAGGAATATTTAATGAAATTATATCCAGTGCCTGTAGACTCTCTTGGGATCATTTTGACTGCTACTCTTCAACTAATAGGGTTGAATCGTGTTTATCCGTGTTCTGCTGCTGTTCCTTTTGTGTTGCTGTATTTTGAAAAGGAAATGGGTAGGCATGAAAAAGAGCAACGAAAAACAAAATCTGAACTTCTCATTCTAAAAAAACAAAATGATATAAACATTAGGATCGAGCTATTCTTTTTACCGTTCAGTGCAACACACATTCGTGAAGTCAACTGTTTTTTTTAAAAAATCAACAGCTCTTGTTCACTTTTATACCCAGTGATTGAAGAATGCAAGAAAAGAAAATATAGGCATTTTAAATGACATTTAAATTGGGAATGTTTGTTGTAACTGGAGGATTAATGATAAGTTCTGGATCTGAGAAAAAAAATAAGGAAAGTTACTGTTCTAACTTTTCATATTTGGGAATATTTTTTTCTGTATCTTTTCTAAATTAAAATTGCAGGGAAGAAATACTCAGTTGAACAAAAGTGTTGCTGCAACTTCTCCCAAAGAGACACTAAAAATGAGTGGTGTGAAAATGAAAGTGTTTGATTACCAATGCTCTTGTCAAGATCTGAAATAATGGCTAAATTTTATAAATTTTCCTTCAGAAATAGTGAGATAAGCACATCTACAAGCAGGTGAGAAATGTTTAGGAACCTCGTTCCATTTTTTTTTTTTAAATTCACCTGCTGTCCCTCTGGTCAATCTATCTGTACAAAACTCTTAGCTCAGGGTTGAAACGAGGGGTCCTTGATCCTCTCTGAGCTTGGTTGTTTCTTGTTGATGTTTCATTAACCAAACTAGGTAACATCATCAGTGCTAGAAGGGAGGAGGAGGAGGAGGAAGACGACGACGACAATCTTGGGGTCCTTGGTGTTCTCTGAGCTTGCTTCTTTTCTTGCAGACGTTTCATTACCCAAACTAGGTAGCATCATCAGTGCTAGAAGAGGGGGGATTTGCAGAGAGGAGGAGGAAGAGGAGGAGGAGGAGGAGGAGGAGAATCTTGGGGTCCTTGGTGTTCTCTGACCTTGTTTGTTTTCTTGCAGACGTTTCATTGCCCAAACTAGGTAGCATCATCAGTGCTAGCACCCCTAAGGAACCACCGAGAACACTTGCACCAACATTGACTGGGGAAGCCACTTCCATATAAACAGAGAACAAACCCCACTCCCTTCTAACACTGATGATGTTGCCTAGTTTGGGTAATGAAATGTCTGCAGGAAAACAACCAAGCTCAGAGACCACCAAGGACCCTTCAGAAATTGAACAAGTAAATAAATAAACAAGCAAATGCCTGGGCGTCTTGTTCAGTATAATGTCCCATAGAAGTGATGGCCCATCCTCATTCCATCATTTCCTAAGGTGCTTTTTTGGGAGGGTTCTGCAAAGGATTGTAGATCCGTCAGACAAGCTACATTCAGCCAGAGCATTATTTGCATTAGCTTGTTCCCTTTTTGATAGGGGGAAAAAAAAATCCAAGTGAAATAAACCAACGCACTTACAAATCTTAGGTTTGCCATTAGTGGCCTTGTTTTGAATGCGTGCTTTTTATCAGTTGATGGAGAAAAGCTTCAGAAAGGTTCCATGAGATATGTCTCCTTCTGCCATATGGCGTGATAGATCTCTCATCACTCAAAAAAGGCATAGATAAGCTGGAGCCAAACAAGGCAAGATACTAAATTCAAATGCATAAACATCCAGAATCTCCTGAGACTATCCCTTCTTGCTCAAGTTGAGTCCAATGAAGTAAATAAACATCAAGTTCAAAATAGCGTGTGCTGTTTTTTGAGAGTTTAATCATCTTATTTTGAAATAGCTGGGAGAATGGTTGAAGAGGGGGGTTTGGGGAAATGCTAATTAGCAATGTATTTTATGGACTGCAAGCCGCAAAATCCAAAAAAGGAGTGGTAAGTAACAGGATCAAGCAAACTAAACTCATGAAACACTCAGCCATGGTGTCCCATAGACCAGTAGCTTAACTGTTAGCAAGGTTGATTCCCCAGAAAAAGGTAATGAACATGAGGATGGAATGTCCCTGTTGTGGATCTAGGACTGTGATGGCAAATCTTTTAGAGACCGAGTGCCCAAACTGCAACCCAAAACCCACTTATGCCTCATCAAGTGCTGGGTGGGTGTGGCCCATTGGGTGGGTGTGGCCTATTGGGTGGGTGTGGCTGGGTGGGACTAAAAAGTTCAATCAATTCCAACTTTGCAAGATCTTTTTTTTTTCCGCGAGAAGTTGAAATTAACTGATTGAACCTTTTTTTTTTTTTGCACACGGTGGTGGAGGCCTAAAGTGAAAAGGTTTTATAAAACCCAGCTGAAGGCCTAGGACTGGGGCGACGGCACGCATGCCCACAGAGAGGGCTCCGCGTGCCACCTGTGGCATGCGTGCCATAGGTTCGCCACCACTGATCTAGGACCTAAGACTTATTTTTTTCCAAAATCACCTGGTTAAGGACAAGTACGTTGCTAATCTGAGCATGTCATCACAAGGGCTTCTGGAATGGAAGTTCTACCAATCAGGTTGGGACAATCTTGTGATTTGTTGAGCTCCGAAATGAGTTTCAGGTCACAGATGTTCAGGAGATCTCACAATACAAGACACAGCCCCGATTGGAACCGTTGATTGGCGTGTCTAAGACAAATGATCACAAGAGCAAAGAATGGAGGAAACTAGAGATATGGATGTTCTTTCACTTTCACATTGTTGAAGGTGTTAAGCATCTCTCGATTCCCATAATTCAATCTCTCTAGCTAACCTCTCACCTCTGTTTGCAAACAGGCAAGAAGAAATAGTAGCTGGAAATAGTGGAATACCGTAATTCCCTGTGCTGTCCACACTGAAAGCAATGACAGGCCACTGTCTTTTCATTTTTGCAAGAAATGTGTATAAATTGACCTTGTGGGTTTTCTTTGACTTTTCTAGACTAAAGATAAGCCAGAAGACAAGGGTTCAAAAGGAAAGCATGCAACTCCCAAGCAAGGAACACAGACAGAAAGCAAGGATTCTTTGGAAGGTATTAATAAATATAGATACTTGTTGTTAAGTGATGTTGAGGCAGACTCTTTAATGTGTGAGAATAAATTAATAGGGTGGTTTAACTTAAGGCCAGAGAAGGCAACCTGGTGCCTTTCAGATGCTTCAGATTACTGGTGTCCTCATTTCTTATTGACCCTACTAGTTGGGGATTATGGAAGTTGATGTCCAAACTGCAGTTTGCCTATCTCTGATTTGAGGTAAGGTTCAGCTCTCTACGCTGCTTTCATAAAATTGTAAACTGCATGTGTTTGGGTTCGCACATCAACCCACGTTGTAAACCCACGTTAATGTAATGATTCTGTTCACAGAGAAAGCAATACCCAAACACATACAATCACAGTGTAGCTCCACGTAACAGCTCGCTTCTTACAGCTAGATTTTCATAATGTACTGAATTGCAAACTATTGAATGCCTGGTGACTCCTTGTTGTATGAATTATATCAGGGGTCTTCAAACTTGGCCCTTTTACGACTTGTGGACTTCAATTCCCAGAATTTCTCAGCCAGGCACTCTGGCTGAGGAATTCTGGGAGTTGAAGCCCACAAGTCATAAAAGGGCCAGGTTTGAAGACCCCTGAATTATACATTATGAGATGTCATATACTGAATAAATAAACATACTACGAGAAGTATTTTACTCAGTTAATTCTAAGTTCTTGCAGTTGTCTCTGCAACGTGGGCCTTGTCAATGTTCTCCAGCATTATCTTTTCCCTCTGAAAATAATTTTTGTAGAAAACCAAAAAGGGACCAGGTTGGGTGAGCAGCACAGACCACGTGAAAAGGTAAACATGGCCAGTGTGGTCCTTTCCAAGGAGACCTCCAGACCATGTGCTGCAGAGAAGATGGCCCAGCTTGAACCAACAGAGCCTTTGGGATGGGCGAATGGCTCCAAGGATTCTCCAAGACAAAAAGAAACGGGGAACAGGAACGTTGTCCAGAAGGATGGCCCTTTCTGCCCAAGCGGTGACAATCTGACGGAGACCCAAAATAGGGATAAAGAAAAATCTCCCCAGAAACAGGTGACTCCAAAATGGAAGCGAGGAGAAAAAAGTGGACTTGACATTCCTGCTGGGGAAGCTGTGTCTTCTACCTCAAAGCCTGACTGTGAAGTTATAAGGACAAGGTAATTGGCAGTTCCTAGTGTTCTAATTTTGGATTCAGAGAAAGAAAACTCTGTTAGAACGAAGGTGGGTCTCACCCGGCTTCATGCTTTTCACAGTCCCCACCATGATATTTCTGGCAAGCTGACAGGGACAGCTTAAAAGCAGTAGGTTTTATGGGTACTTCAGCATGCACAGCATTCGGTGGTCCACTGTCTATAAATGTGCAACCTCCATTGGTTGTTTTCCTTTGAAGGAAAGCTGGTTTAAAGCTAGATAAGCTAGGAACTAGGATTCCCCCCCCCCTCCCCCGTGGTAGCAATTGTTATGAAATTATCTGGATGCCGAGTAAATATAAATTATTTGATTGAATGTAAGGAAAAACTTCCTGAGGACCAAGCTGTAGCTCCAACTACAAATGTTATAGGTTCTCTGTCTCTGGAGGTCTTTAAGAAGCAGCAGTTGAATCATTTCTTAAGGATCATTAAATTGGCTTTCCTGCATTTTGCACTAGCACTTAGACTTATATACCACTTCACAGTGCTTTACAGTCATCTCTAAGCGGTTTATAGAATCAGCCTATTAACCCCCAACAATCTGGGTCCTCATTTTACCAACCTCTGAAGGATGGAAGGCTGAGTCAACCTTGAGCCGGTCAGGATCGAACTCCTGGCAGTGGGCAGAGTTAGCCTGCAATACTGCATTCTAACCACTGGGCCACCACTAGATGATTCTGCGGTTCCTTCTGACTCTACAATTCTGTGATTCCATAAGGACTTTTGAAATCAGTTCCATCTTATGATAGCATGGGATTCAGCAGTCCCAAGGAATACAGTTAAGTATCTCTTTGAATCCAGATTTAGCATTAAGTATTTCCTTCACTGGAAGTGTCTGAACAATCTTACTGACAAGGACTATATCAGTACCTGATTTATCCTGATTCCTGACAAATAGCATCCCTTATGCTTGTCAAATTAGCACCTTACACTGCTCCTTTGCAATATGTTTTAGCTAGAGTTCAGTTCAGCAGCATCGTCTTTTGGACTTTAGGACTTAACAGGAGGTGTGTTGCTAAAAACAGAATTCTGCAAAGCTGGCCAAATGGAAATACATATGTTATCATCTTTAGAAAAAAAGAATAATTGTAGTTAGGGAGGAAAACCTTTTTTTTTCCCCTAGTTCACTTTTTCCAAAGTTGGGAGTCTCAAGGTAGCTTCAAGAATGGAGTTGAAGACTCTTAAGGAGAAACGGATCTGAGATATGGTAAGTTTTAGGGTGATCCTGAGGTGAGGATTGTCCAGGCTACCATTTGTGAATGTGCAAAGGTGGCAGACGTGTGAAAAAATATTGACTTCGAGGATAGATCCAAATTGGATGGTCTCGACTCAATAAAAGGCTAGCTCAATTGATTACCTTTGATACAGAGAAAATGTCCACTAGGGGCATCAGCGGACAAAAAAACCCCAATGCAGTAGAACTGAAAGTCCTGCAAAAAATCCATCTCTATTTTACAAATACCTGTAGTGTTTTTCCTCAAGGGGAAGAAAGTCCAGAATTAAGCAGACTTAAGCACTATGAAACACCCCATCCAGTAGTTAAGTCTGCTTAATCTTCTCTTCGCCGGGAAGAATAGCAAGGTTCAGAGAAGAGGGATGCTAGCAATCTGCAATAAATCAGATTTCAATATTTATAGGGTACATTAGAGATCATTTTGGATCTTTGGTGAGACTGAAGCGGTTCCCTCCCATTGGTCTGCTGCTTGGTAAAGAAGCAGCGGTAAAAAGAAAAGAGGATATCAACCACCTTTGTTTATGGCTCCACTCACTAGTTGCTCAGCCCCGTGGCTGGGGGATTCTGGGAGATGAAATCCAAAGTTGTCATGGCTGGACACCCCTGGCTTAAGGGATTCAGTTAGAGTTGTCGGTGTAGGATGAAAAAGATCATGGAGCTCTTTTGTCGTCATGTCCATATCCATGAGCCCATCCGGGAGACATGCAAGACAGCTGTATGATCTCTGTTGGCCTTCAGCCAGGTGTACTCCAGATGTCGGAACGTAATTCCCAGCATCACTAACTAGCCTTGGTCAGCGTAGAGAATGGGGCTGAAGGGTGATGCTTTTGAAGCCTGCCAACTCAAGAAAAGCTCTTCCCAAGTCCATGCCTTCCTGAAGTGACTGGATAACATCTTGATTAAATTAAATTCAAAGGCTACAAGGAAAGATCTAAACTGGATTTCTTTGCAGGCCTTCAGTCAATGCACGGATGAACGATGCTCCAGACGAGGATTTGAGAAGCAAAGAAGGAAGTGTTGGAGGTAGACATGATGGAGGGTTGACTCCGCTTTCCTTGCGGCCAATAGTTGAAGGAAGTAAGCATTTTCAGGAACCTTCTAAAACCAAGGTGCCCTCAAAGGACAGCAGGACTGAGCCCACACAAGAACTGACAGGAGCCCATTCTCCCAACAAGAGGAGCGAGCAGATACCTAAACTGTCAGGTCCTACTTCACCAGCACCACTTGCAAAGGCTGAAGACAATGGAGAAAGTCAACGCAAGACTCTCCCTTCTCCCAGTTCCACTCCAAAAGACTTTGCTGAAGATCTAGGAGCCTCAGGAACAAGTCCCAAGGAGATGGCACAGGCAATCAAAGACGTCAAAAAAGACACCATGGAACCAAGGAGAGTTTCTTTAGTGAGAAGAGAAAGCAGATCCCGACAGGGAGCAGAGAAAGTTTCAGAGATTACTCCATTCGTAGGAGCCACCAAAGGGGAAGAGACGGTCATTGGTAAGTAACCGCTTCTGGACCAGTTGCACGTTCTCTCTTCGGTTGCATCTACTTACAAATCCAAAATTTTGTACCCAGAATGGGGTGGACCATGTGGCCTATAGCGCCCTCTCCAACTCCTTTGGTTTTAAGATATGTTTTGCTTCAGAAACTTGGTTGCAGAGCAGATGATCCCAGCTGGTGAATGGGTGAAGTTGTGTTTGGAGAAGACCTTGATAGGTACGATTGAATGCTCCTCCAGAAAATGGAAAAAGAAAAAGAAAAGCACACTCAGGCAAAAACTAATTCAGAAAATGTTCTCCTTGGTGTGAGCCCTGAATTTATATATCGTAAGCCATAGTTTGTTTTATAAGCACACTTGCCGGGTCTGTACAATATACCAAACCAAAATAAAACCATGTTACCATTTAATGCAACGTATATATCTGCAAATGAAAATTGTGAATGTATAATTTATAGCCTATTGTTATGGGTGAAAGAAGCTGCTAGGGTTTATCAAATAACTAGCTTTTTTTTTTTAAAAAATCACAACTTGTGGTTAAAAAAAACAAACCTAGTTATTTGATAAACCCCAGCAGCTTGGTTCATTTGCAGGTATATACAATAGAATAGAATTTTGTTCTATACACCTGCAAATGAAAATTGCAAATTTATAATTTATAGCATATTGTTATGAGTGAAACAAGCTGCTAGGGTTTAATCAAATAACTGGTTTTTTTAAAAAAATAATAAATCACAACATGTAATATTTGAAGTGAACTGTCTATGTAGATGAAGTGCTCAGAGTTTTGCTAAATTTGTAATGGCTCCAGTGCCTGAAATAGTTGGATGAATAATAAGCTATCCACAGTTGCAAAATGGAATATTAAAACACTGTATAGCTATTAATTTGCATGACTTCCCAAAGAGTTATACCAGGGGTCTTCATACCTGGCCCTTTTATGACTTGTGGACTGCAACTCCCAGAATTCCTCAGCCAGGCTCGCTGAGAAAGACAGAGGCAGATGGAAGATGTCAAGATGATGTTCCACTGTCTGTTGCAAGAAAACTCAAAACCATGTTCCTCTGCTTCTTCTTCAGATGACAGCCCTCCTCCGCCAGCTCCTTTTGAGCATCGCATTGTGAGCATCAAACAAACTGAGTTAACCGCTTTATACACTGTAAACCACCATGAAGTGTTGGGAGGGTAAGTTTCATTATAAAGTGATCAGACTGCCTTGGAAATAATTTCTTATCCTCCAGTTGTATAAATATCGATGTTATATTGAAGGGCTGGTCACATATTCAGTATTGTCCTTACATTGGTAGTTTTGCAAGGACTGTTTTGGCACATGTTAGCTAGTTCAGTGAAGGTCCCAGCACCTACATTCAAGGAATGTAAGAATTATTTCAAAGGAAGCGCTTAAATAATATACTTAACCAGGCGAGTGGAAATTCTAGCAATTGCGAAATGCTAAACTTGATTAAGCTTAACATAAGCTACTTGAATTCGCTATGGTTAGGCTTAACATGGGCTATGGCATAGCAAATCCAACTTTTTGTTGTTGTTGTTAGGGTAGGAAACTCAAGGTATCGTGCAAAATCTGAAATTTTTTCCACAACTAAACTGTACATATTGCACCAATTCAGACCATATTGGTTGGGTGAAAGTCTTGCTCACTCTGAAAACTTGAAACAGAGATATGAAGTTGTAGAGCAGTGGTTCTCAACCTGTGGATCGGGACCCCATTTGGGGTCGAACGACCATTTCACGGGGGTCGCCAAACAACGCAGTCCGCCATTTTTTCCCCCTTTTCCTTAGCTGTGCTACTCCCTTTTATTCTATTGGCTTTTGAAAGCCAATAGAATAGACTCTCTTGAATAGAGTCTAATTCTATTGGCTTTCAAAAGCCAATAGGAATTGTCCAGGCTGTCTCTGCCCTGCTGAGCCCGCCAAAAGTCCCATTCTGCAAACGGTGCTGCACCCGTTGAGTAGTCCTCGACTTACGACCAGTTGAGTAGTCCTCGACTTATGACCAGTTGGGGGTCGCGGCATTAAAAAGGTTGAGAACCACTGTTGTAGAGGTTGGGATGAAGCCTCTGCATTGTCTATTCCACACCAGAGCAGCTCTTGTTGTGTGTTGAAATCTCCTTGGCAAAACGACTCGACAAATATATACTGGAGGGATGGTAGAAACCTGATGCTGGAAGAAAAGTTCATGAGGAACCTTTGCTTTGATCTCATGACACTTTCTTGGGTAGCTTGGAGAAGAGAGACAGGCCATCTGTGCTGCCATAAGTTTTCTTCTAATGGACGGAAGATTAATATCACAAATTTCCATTTGGCCATCTCAGCACATAACTTCCTTGTAAAAGAGGATTACCCGTACTGGCTTCACATTTTTGACCTTAGGAAAGTAACCACTTGTATACATTTGGGGCCTAAATACTCTTTTTCAGGTCTATATTCGGGGATATCTGATGAAGGTCACAAGCAACGTATCGAACAGTAAACTGGTCTGTTTGTAAGACACCAAAAAAACCTCTCGTTTTTGCCCGAATCTAAGCTTTTTGCTGATTCTGCCTTGCACAGTTGCATAGGAATGCGTTTCTGGCGATCAGACACTTCCAAATGGATTTACAGAAGATCACCGTGACACTTGTACAATTTTAATGTCATTATAGTACTGGTTTTCCCCATCCCTTAGAAATTGTAACTTGGGATAGAGACTGCCTAATTTTCCTCGTTGGCTTTGGCCTCATTTAGAAAGTGATCAGCGAAAGCTCAAAATTATTCCCTATTTTTGGTTATTCATTGCTCAAGTACAACCGGCAAAGCATGAACAACTATAGAACCCGCCGCAGACCATCTCCAGGTTGTCGTATTTTGCTCCACAATGAAAGAATACAACTGTGGAGTAAGATTTTAACATAAGCACTGAACAACTGGCTGGAAAGATCAAGCTTAATCCTTTCCTAAGCTAGGAGAAAGAGGAGCTTTTAGACGCCTGACCTCTTGATTCCATTCGCTTTGTACCAGGTTATTTTTAATTGACGATAAGAATAGTTGGTCTCTGGAGGCGTTGGCAGCCCCCCCCCCCGAGTTGTTTTCCTTGTGGGTTTCATCACTTTGTGTTCTCCATCTTTCAACAGGGGGCGTTTTGGTCAAGTCCACAAGTGCACGGAAAAGTCCACAGGACTCTGTCTGGCTGCCAAGATCATCAAAGTGAAATTAGCAAAAGAATGGGTAATGATAGCCTCTTAAAAATTAAAAAAAAAAAGAAGCAAAAGATCAGGATAAAAATTCCTATTTCAGTCAGTGTTTTCTCTGCAAAGCAAGATCTTTCGTAACTAGATAGCTAGATATAAGAAGCAGCGTGTAGTCCATGGGTTAAGGTATTGGATTAGGAGCAGGTTACTTCTATTAATCTGCGCTGGGTGGTAGATTGAAGGCCATTATTTTATTTTATTTATTGAATGTGTTGGCCACCAATCTCACTGCAATTGAGAAGCATTCATTTTGCGCTGGATTGATTCTCCTGGCTGATAATGATATATAGAGATAGATATACATGTATTTCTTTGTGTATGTGTATGCATCTTCTCTGTATTTCTTTGTTCTTACATTCTCAGTTCTCACTGGGTTCTTGTTTTGCCTTCTTAGCTTTTCTTTTGCAATAGCACTTAGACTTATATACCGCTTCATATAGTGCTTTACAGCCCTCTCTAAGTGGTTTACAGAGTCAGCCTATTGCCCCCAACCATCTGGGTCCTCATTTTACTGACCGCGGAAAGATGGAAGGTTGAGTCAACCTTGAGCTGGTGAGAATCAAACTGCTGGCAGTCGGCAGAATTAGCCTGCAATTCTGCATTCTAACCACTGCGCCACCATAGCTCTTTATATCTAAATGTTTATCATGCCAACTTGGGGTCCTTCCCATCCAAATTATACTATCTTTTATGTTTCAGTCAGGTTTGAATTTGAAAATAATAAAATTAAGATAGGTCTTGACTCTTTACTCTGGCACCCTGGTGTAACCTTGGACTCTAAATGGATCTGGCAAATAAAATGACCATGGTAGACAGATTTTTCTGAAGTGTATCTTGATTAATTTAACAGAACAGAATAACAGTATAATACAATTGAAAGGGACCCTGGAGGTCTTCTAGTCTGACTCCCTGCTCAAGCAGGAAACCATTTCAGACAAATAGTTGACCAATCTCTTCTTAAAAACTTCCAGTGTTGGAGCATTCACCGCTTCTGGAGGCAGGTTGTTCCACTGGTTAATTGTTCTCACTGTCAGGAAATTCCTCCTTAGTTCTAGGTTGGTTCTCTCCTTGATTAATTTCCATCCACTGCTTCTTGTCCTGCCTTCAGGTGCTTTGGAGAATAGCTTGACTTCTTTCTTCTTTGTGGCAGAGTCTCAAATATTTGGAATACTGCTATGTTACTCCTAGTTCTTCTTTTCATTACAGTGTTTCTCAACCTTAGCAACTTGAATATGAGTGGACTTCAACTTCCAGAATTCCACAGCCAGCATGTTGAAGTCCACACATCTCAGGCAGCGAAGGTTGAGAAACACTGCTCTAAAATATACCATACAGTAGCAGAAAAATTGCTGGGGGATAGCACAGATCTCTATATCCTCCTTTTTCCTTCTGCCACTATTGCTAATAATACATTTCATTAATGTTTCAGGAAGAAGTGAAGAATGAGATAAACATAATGAACCAGTTAAATCACGTGAACCTAATTCAACTCTATGATGCTTTTGAGAGCAAGCACAACCTCACCTTAATCATGGAATAGTGAGTTGGTACCCTCTGATCTAAATTAGCTGTGCTAACAAGCCGGTGACTTTGAAAATTTCTTACCATCCTGGAAGATGCATTAAAACAAAAGCTAGAATCAGAATAAAGGAATAGATTGGATTGGACCACCTTAAGTTACACTTAAGTTACAGTGTAACTTGCTTTGACATCTCTGGGATGGCATCCATTGTGTTTGGATGAATATCCTCTTTCTATTGCAATTAAAAATTACAAGTCAATGGCGATGTAGGACATGGGGGGAGGGGTTGCCACTGCCAAGGATTTTTGGGAGCGCATGGAGAGAAGGGACACATAGTTGTCCACCTCCATAATAATTGTCCTTGTTGAACACTGCTGCCTTTTGTTGTTCCGCCAGTGTCGATGGTGGTGAGTTATTTGACCGGATCATAGATGAAAACTACAATCTTACCGAGTTGGATGCTATCTTGTTTACCAAACAAATCTGTGAAGGAATCTACTACCTTCACCAACAGTACATCCTTCATCTTGATCTGAAGGTAAGTTTGGAACCTATCACCAGTGGACAGGTTAGTCCTCAACTTATAACCCATTTGTTTAATGGCTGTTTGAAATTATGACGGCCCTCAAAACAGGACTTATATTGCTACGTCTTCTTGTGTTGGGTCTGTTTAGTTTTGTTTTATTTGAATGTTTCATTTATGTGTTGGCCTTCAGGTGTAATCATAAATTGATTTGATTTGACGGCCCTCAAAACGGGACTTGTGACTGGTCCTTGTACTTAACGACCATTGCAAACCCTCCCCCCCATGGTGACATGATCAGAATTTGGGTGCTTGGCAGCTGATATGTATTTACAATGGTTGCAGTTTCCCCAAGGTCATGGGATCCTCATTTGCAACCTTCCCAGGGGGCTGAATTTGCTCAAGATCTATCTGATTCGCTTAATTATCATGGCACCACTTAGCGATCAAAGTTCTGCTTCCAATTGTGGTTGTAAGTCCAGGACTACTCGTCGCCTTACACCCAGGGCAGGGAACATTTGCAAAGTGATACCCCATGAGGAAAAACTGCACGCAGATTACATACCACGCATGAGCAGGAAAATCAACCAACGTTAAGCTAACTCTGGCAAGCTGTCTCTGCCCTGTTTAAACAGGGGAAAGAGGGTGACATTGTCTGCTCACAACAGCCCTGAGGAGTAGGTTGGGCTGAGGAGCAGGGGGCTGGACTGAGAGTTTTCTAAGGGGGAAATCAAGCTGCATCTCACCACTTGACTCCCCTTGTCGAACCTCAGGCTGTTGTCTGGTAAAAATAAATTCTGAAAAAAGGCTCTAAAGATGGGCTTAAGCTTGTCCTCTGTTAAATTTACTCAAGCACAAAACTTGAGGGAAAACTTTTATAAAATGTTTTATAGATGGCATTTGGATCCTAAAAAGTTATCTTGTATGTATCCGAATTTGCAACCCAAATGTTGGAGATGTGGTTCCTTGGATGCAACTTATTTTCATGTTTGGTGGACTTGCAAAAATATTAAAGCTTTTTGGATTATGATTTGGTGGAACATTCAAAAGGTTTTTAAAAGGAAAATTAAATTTACTCCCCAATTATTTCTTTTGGGAATTTTTGTGGATTTTGATGTTAAAGAAACTATTTTAATGCTGAATTTAATAACAGCAGCAAGACTATTGGTGGGTCAGTATTGGAAAAAAGATTCTCTGCCTTCTTTGGAAGAATGGGTGTTCAAGGTTTCTAACTTAGCAGAAATGGCTAAAAGTTCTGCTTACTTAAAGGACCATTCACAAAAGAGATATGTTTCTGTATGGAGAAGATGGATAGAATATATTCAGAAGAAATATGGAACAACAAAGTTTCATTTATTTTATGAATAATGGATTTTTACTAAATTATGAATTCAAGTTTGCAGAGAGTTAAGGGTTATTAGGACTCCGCTTATTGTATAAGTAGTAAATTTAAGTTGACTATGTTTAGTTTTCTTTTTTTTCCTTCTTTCTTTTTGTAACCCTGTATTGAGCTCTGGGAAGTTGGGGGGAGGAAAGGGGGTGGGGGGAGGGGGGAGAGGAGAGTGTGGGTAGTATTTTCAATCGTTCAGATTTTGGTGATAGAGGATTGCCCGGGCATTTTCCCTCAGACTGCATCCGATTGAGAAGAAGAGGAGAGGGATAAGTAAGTAGAAAGATGGAGGAGAGAGGGAGGGGAGCAGAGGAGGAGATAGAAGGAAGGGGGAAGTGAAGAGATGAGAAGGGGATGCGGTCTGGGGGGAAATGGGTGAGCAATGGTGGAATTTGTGTTCTATTTTAACTTCTTATGTATCTGAATTTTTTTTTCTTATGGTTGTAATGAAAATAAAATAATAAACATTGGAAAAAAAAAAAAGCTTGTCCTCTGTCTTTTTTGGCAGCCCGAGAATATACTGTGTGTGAATCACAGTGGAAACCAGATTAAAATCATTGATTTTGGACTCGCAAGGAGGTAAGTCTCTCCTCCTCTTTATGCTTCGTTGATGTTTTCTTTATTCCTTCAGCATCTCCCCTTGTAGACTATAAGTATTTTGTGATCTCCTTTGGAAGTGCACTAAAATGCCACTCATTGCCCTGGTGACCGGGCTTTCGTTCAAAAGGCCTTCTTACTAGTCTAGAACATGACAGCGATCACCATATCTTTGCACACCGATGCCTCTCTTGCTATAAGCTCATTCTCTACCCACCGCCTCTCTACACTCAGCCCCCCCCCAACTGTCTCCCTTTCTCATCTTTGCTAAAGGTACAAGCCTCGGGAGAAGCTGAAAGTCAATTTTGGCACGCCCGAATTTTTGGCTCCCGAAGTTGTCAACTATGATTTTGTGTCATTCCCAACGGACATGTGGAGCGTAGGCATCATAGCATACATGCTGTGAGTAAACCCTGTTTTTTTTTTCCCAAGGGAAGGGGAAGGGAACATCGTCAATCAACTGTTCAATAGGGAAGAGCAGGATGCAACAGTTTAGAGCAGGGGTGTCAAACTTGCAACCTCACGTGACGTGTCGTATTGCGACTTTTTTTCCCCATTGCTGGCAATGGGGCGGGCGTGGTTTCGCTATGATGCATCTGGGCCGCGGGCCGGCAGTTTGACACCCCTGGTTTAGAGGGCCAGAATTGCAGAAGATGGTTTGGTTTCCTCTGACGTGATGGTTGGCAAGAAAAAAGGGTGAAGTAAGCATAAGCTGAATAAAGGGAACATCTCTTGTGTTAAAGGCGGGGAAGAATTTAACCTGTGATCCAAATCAGTTCTGCATATATTCTTTCTAAATTCATTTTGATTGTTTCATCTTGGCCGATAGCTAGATGCTGCCCATACATGCATTGCCATTTATTGTAGCTCATGTGGCTAGGTTTTGGGTAGAGTATTTAAGTTCTACCAGAACATGATGAGCCATGTTTGTGGAAGAGCAGGGAGGGGCTGTGTTAAGAGGTCAATAGCCTAGAGTTGTTACGTTCCCACAAACCGTGTAAGTCCATCCCCTCCTGAATTCTGTTCACTTTTATCTGGTGCCAATTCAGGATGGAACTTCCAATTCTACTAATTTTGGGGGGAGTGCGACGTAGCAGATCACGGTTCTGGTTCCAGTCAACATGCATGCTTTTATTTGGGATGTGTACGGCCGGCGCAGATTGTCCCTCTTCTCAACACTGGCAGTACTTGGCTTATTTTGCCTGGCCATGAAAGCTGGCCAACGTTCCTATCTTGGACAAGAAAATGGCTTGATTGAGACAAGGTAGTCATCAAGAGATGAGCTCCTCATGAAGACATCTTCACCTTAAAGACATTTTTCCTCCAAGAGCTGAATTTTGGCCCTCTTCCCAAGCAGTTAAAGCTCTAAATTGTGCCTTATCTGCACACCTCAAGCAACCTCTTCTTTCTTATTTTAGGGTCAGTGGCTTGTCTCCTTTCCTTGGAGAAACTGATGCAGAGACCATGAATTACATAATCAACTGCAACTGGGATTTTGATGCAGAAGCATTTGAACAAGTGTCCGAAGAGGCCAAAGACTTTGTATCCAGACTTCTAATAAAGGAAAAGAGGTATTAACTTGCTATGGTGTCTTATCCCAGATCTTATTCCAGATCTTTCTGTCTTTCCCCTGCACACATATCCAGCCTGATTAATGAAGGGAGTTGTCTGCACCCAAGCCATCGTGCTTATTCTATAAATCGTGGCTTAAGATGTACAGTTCAAACTAATGTGTGTGCATGTACAGGAAGTCCTCGGCTTATGATCACAATTGAGCCCAACATTTCTGTTACTAAGCAAGACAGTTGTTAAGTGAGTTTTGCCCCATTTTACAACCTTTCTTGCCACAGTTATTAAGTGTATTCACAATTGTTAAGCTAGTATCGGGGTTATTAAGCGAACCTGGTTTCCCCACTGACTTGGCTTGTCAGACGGTTGCAAAAGGGGATCACGTGACTTCGGGATGCTGCAACCGTCACAAATACATGCCAGTTGCCAAGCATTTGGATTTGATCACATGACCACAGGGCTGCGGCAACAGTCGTGTGAAAAGCAGGCACAAGTCACTTCCCCCCCCCCCAGTGCTGTTATAACTTTGGCCACTAAATGAACTGTTGTAAGTCAAGGACTACCCGTGTGTCTAATGGCCTGTTCTGTATTGCAACCTGTCGCCTCACAAGTTCTTTTTCTCCTTTCTCCGGTCTGGTTATCACAGTGGCAGAATAAGCGCAGCCAATTGCTTGAAACACGAGTGGTTGACCAACTTGTCTGCCAAGGCGAAGCAGTCCAAAGTTCGCTTGAAGTCTCAGATGCTTCTCCAGAGATACATGGCCCAGAAGAAATGGAAGGTAAATGCTACACCGCTCCCCTATCTTTTTCTGAGCACAGCTCCGGGTTGCCAATTTACTACAGATGACGCTAATTTTTTTTTGCAGGATCCAATCTGTGCGGGTCACCGGAAGCTTAGAAGAATAAAGCTTCGGTCCCGGTGACGGGCTCAGATTGGATCCTGCAACATTACCCTGAGACCAGTGGTGGGATTCAGCCGGTTTGCACCACTTTGGCAGAACCGGTAGCTAATGTTTTTGTTGCCCAGGCCCAGAATGGACTTCCGGAAGTGGGATTTTATTTATTTATTTATTCATTCATTCATTTATGAGACTTATATACCACTTTAAGTGCAAGCGCTCTCTAAGCGGTGTACACCAGTAAACAATGTATATATATATATTTACATTGCCCCCAACAATCTGGGTCCTCATTTTACCTACCCCGGAAGGATGGAAGGCTGAGTCAACCTTGAGCCGGTGCGATTTGAACCGCTGACCTGCTGAACACAGTCAGCTAAAGTGGCCTGCAGTACTGCACTCTAACTGCTGCGCCACCTCGGTTGTTCACCTATTTGAATCCCACCACTGCCTGGGACACACATATTTACCTTCCTTCGCGACAGTATTTTCTGTACAGGAGAAGCCAGATGTGAACACGACATACGATGATGCCTCTTTCTCTCTTAATTACGTCAATACTTTGCTTAGCCAAACAATTTTATCTACCAGCAAGCTAGTTTTAAGCAACGGATAAGCTTGATCTAGCAGAAAATGCATAGTGAATGCGACAAGTAGGTCCCAGGTAGTGTTGAGTATGTAAAAGGGATCTCGAAATTCTGTATGGATGTTGAGTGTTATTGTGAAGGTACAATCCGACGCTGGAGAAATCTCGCCAGAGTCTTTTTGTTTTTCCAACACGTTTCTTCTTTCTTTTTACAGAAGCACTTCCACGCGGTCACAGCCGCCAACAGGTTGAGAAGATTCCCTAACGTGTCTGAGTCTGCAGCTGCTGAAGAGAGCTGAGACTTGGGTGATTTTAGGGATCAGCCCATTGGGGACGGGACAACTTGCCACCGCCAACTCGCTGCGGCCAATTTAACCATTCTATTTCATTATTTAAAATAAATAACATTTATTTCAGTTCTTGCCATTCCCATTTCATTCCGTCCCTCCTTTGGCATCCTTTCTTTAATGATTCTATTCCACCGTTTCTTTGATATTAGTGAAACTCTTTTTCCCGCAGCGAGTTGTCCCCATGGCAAGTTGTCATAGACCCCGGTCCATTTCCACCAGTTTCATGTTTTCTTTCCTCCTCTTCCTCAACTGTACATCCAGCAGTCTGCTTAGGTGGCTGCCTTCAAGCATAAGACACCTTGGGACTTCCCTACATCAAGGGCAGGGGTAGGCCACCTTGGCTCTTTTATGACTTGTGGACTTCAACTCCCAGAATTTCTGAGCCAGCATGAAGTCCACAAGTCATAAAAGGTTGCCTACCCCTGACCAAGGAGAAGCCTGACTGGGTTGTCCTACAACTGTCTCTTGCAAGTGGCGGGTAGGAAAACCGCTTGAATTATGCCTCTTAGGCTTTCGTTTCCGTAATTACACATTAGTGGTTAAGAATGGCTTTTCCTGCTGGGGACTAGTTGTCTTGTTTTTAAGAACGCTTTTGAGAGTTTTGAGAAAAGTCAAGTCGTGATTGGGAGGCTGACCTTCAAGCCGAAAATGTAGTTTCTGCAGGAGTTGAGATAGTTATTTTCCAAATTCAGTATTTTTGCTTTGAAAGTAGAACTTTGGGTAGCAATCAATAGCTTTAAGAACACCTGCCAAGACATTGTATTGGGATTAGCGTCCCTCTTTTGAGGGAGATGGGTGGTACAGAAATGTAAAAAATAAATAAAATTAGTTCCCTTTTATACACTCACTTAGGATTTCTCTTTTGGTTAACTTTTCTAAACTTAAAAAAAAAAACATACACAACTTGATGATCTGTTATTTGCCACTGTCTGGGACACCATCAGGATATGTATCAGCTTGGGGTTTTTGTGGGAAATGAAGGATAAAAATAAAAATGACTTGACGTGTTGTTGTCCCCAACAGAACAGAGGTTATTGCTGACAATGTTAAGTATGTGTGTGTATGTGTGGGGGGGATTAAAAACAGAATTTAAAATCCTCAGTCATAGAAATATGGAGCTGAATTTCTGAATTGATTCAATCCGATCCTTGCAACTTGATTTGATCTGACTTTGGGATAGTGTCAGAATTCTTGTCTTGAATTTCATTTTTTTTTCCCACCATCTGAATCCGTGTTTTTCAGCCTTGGCCATTTTAAGACGTGGACTTCAACTCCAGAATTCCCCAGCAGTCATACTTAAATGATTAACCCAGTGGTTCTCAACCTGTGGGTCGGGACCCCATTTGGGGTCGAACGACCATTTCACGGGGGTCGCCAAACAACGCAGTCCGCCATTTTTTCCTCCTTTTCCTTAGCTGTGCTACTCCCTTTTATTCTATTGGCTTTTGAAAGCCAATAGAATAGACTCTCTTGAATAGAGTCTAATTCTATTGGCTTTCAAAAGCCAATAGGAATTGTCCAGGCTGTCTCTGCCCTGCTGAGCCCACCAAAAGTCCCATTCTGCAAACGGTGCTGCACCAGTTGAGTAGTCCTCGACTTACGACCGGTTAAGTAGTCCTCGACTTACGACCGGTTAAGTAGTCCTCGACTTACAACCGGTTGGGGGTCGCGGCATTAAAAAGGTTGAGAACCACTGTTATAGAATGAAACAACAAAACAGAAGACTATCGCACAAATAAAGTTTATTGATGCTTCCAAAGAGGAATGAACAAAAGTCATGGTTAAAAAAAATTAAATAATCACACCTGTGTGGGACCATCTTAAAAAGAGTTAATGGGACATATCAACGCAAAAACATGGCATTTTGCTATAATATCAGTGAGCTGAACACATTTAAAAGCAGGTCCCATCTAGGCTTCAAAGTGGCCTATTCAAGGAATTCAAGTTTTCAGAGGGTTCCCCCCCCTTCCCGCTCCCAAGAGACTAGTTCTCCAGACTGACATAGGCCAAAAGACTGGCCTAATGTTTGCACTCACAGGAGGAACAAATCCACTCACACACTGTTTCTTTGTGATTTTGCAGCATTTTCTAAGATTCTTCGTTTCCATTCTTCGTAATCTTCTTTAGGCTCAATTTCATGTTTTGCACGCTTACGAGGGACTTTTGCTTCCAGAACTAATGAGGAAAATAATAATAATATATATATGTGTGTGTGTTTGTGTGTTATTGTGTATGTATATGTACAAACATACATATGGTTCTAAGAATCAGCTTTCTTATGACGTAAGAATGGAGCCCCCTTGTTTGTTAAGAATTTTTTTTGTGGCACCTTCAGCTGGTACTGAAATACACTTTTTAGAATAGATTCAGATGAACAAACTTGAGCACTAAATCAACACAGTTGCTATTAAATGGGGATGACACCTGTGATTCAGGTGGGAGATTGATGCCTTATTTGTCTGCCACAGAAGAAAGTCATATGAGCCACGTTCTCCGATCTGATTGACTTCTGGAATTTGGGAGATTAGTATCCGGAATTTCAAACCAGACTGGAATTCCATGTTCTGGTTATGAAAGTTGGGTGCTATTTGAGGGCAGTAGGTAAAGGTGTTTCCTAGAGGAGGAACCTGCCCCTAAATAGGTCCATCTAATAGCATGATTGCCCTTACCTTCTTTCTTTGCCAGATCTTCAAGGAAGGAGGATTTCTGAGGTTCTTCAAGCTTCACCGACAATGAATCATCTTCTCCTTAAGAAGAAAATAACCGTTATGTTTAGGCAATCTTTGAATGCCCAAGAATGGCTGCATACAACTGAATAAGCCACAAGGGATAAACTGAACTAAGGAACTGGTTGTACTTTGTAGGAAACAGGACACCCAAGTCCAGAACATTGTCAACTTAAGGTGGTGAGCACACCTAATAACTTGCCACCTATTTTCCCCCCAACAATCTTATGAGGTGGGTTGGGATGAGAAAGGGAGACTGGTCCAAAGTCACCCAGCCAGTTATTTGCTCTCCTTTCTGTCTACAACTGAGACTAGCCATAAATAGTTGATTCAAAGTTTGGAAGAACTTTTGAGTCAAACAAACAGCTGAATTCTCACGTGTTCAAATAAGGTTTGCCAGTAGGCTGCAGTTGAATTTGGTCACGCTTCAATCAGCCACGGCTTACAAATCACAGGAGCTACGTTTGGCCACCATGCAAAGCTCAAAGTGCATCTTTGAGGTACAGCTGCTGGCTTAGGGGCCGTTTGAAGTCACAACAGCGCTGAAAAAAAGTGACTTATAATTGTTTTTCATACTGAAGTCCATTGCAGGTCACATGATCAAAATGCAGTCGTTTGGCAACCGATTCATATTTATGGCGGTTGCAATGTCCCAGGGGAATCACGTGATCCCCTTTTGCGACCTTTTGACAAGCGAAGTCAATGGGGGAAGCCAGATTCGCTGACCAACTGTGTGACCAATTTAACACCTCCAGTGATTCACTTAACAACTGTGGCAAGCAAGGACGCAAAACGGGGGCAAAGCTCACTTAACTATCTCATTTAGCAACAGCAATTTTGGTCCTAAGGCAAGGACTATCTGTATGAAGGCACCTCGCGTTCTATAGTTTTCCAACAAAAGGCTTACAAAAAAAAAGTGGATGTGGTTTTGACAAGTTGCCAGAAGTGAATCAAGACAAAAAAACATTTAAAAAAGTCATACGGTTGATTTGTTGGCTAATCTTCTCTAACTGGGTGTGGAGCCGGTCAAATATGGTTTTCTTCACCCCAGAAACAGTCACCATTTTGGTTTTATCCACCTTAAGTTTCAAGTATCTGCAATGAGAAAGATTTGATTCATGAAAAGATCCTTTTGCCCAACGATTTAAAACTTATACTGGCCTAACAGTGGCTGCTACTATCAAATCTCTCCATTAGAAGCTCCCAGTTCTAATTTACATCCCACCAGCTTTTCATCACTAACAAGCGACAAGTGTATGAAATCAAGCAGACATTTTAAAAAAACAACGGTTAAGATATGCTTTGAGTGAAAAGCATCTCTTCTATACAATATGGGTTTTTTTTAGATTGTATATATTTTTTACCTTTGGGTTCTTTTGCATCGTTCTATGAATGCTCTGCTTTTTTTTCTCAAGGGTCTGCTTTTTGGACAATTAAGAGCAGACCGTGAATCAACAATCCTTGCTAGACAAAAAGTATTTTAGGACCAAACCACATGTCAAAACGTAGCTGAGCCCCCTCCACTGCCTCCCTCAATATTCCCTGGGATGTGATATTTGGGGGAAGGGCTCCTCCATGTGGAAAGAAGCTGGCATCGGACAATGGACCTTAAGCAGGACCAAAAACTACAGCAGCACTACAGTTCCCATCATTCACGATAATTGACTCTTTGGCTGGACAAGAGAACGGAAGTCCTATAATTTGGACTGTTTAAACCCTACTGTCTTCAAAACATTTTCAGTGGATCCTTTGAACCTTAGAGACTACCACTAAAGCAACTCTAAAGTTCTCGTGTATTTTGCTTCTAAATTAATTACAGGGATTAAAAAATAGGGTAGTTATCTTTCAGCACCAATTTCACCACCATCGAAATCAGACCATGCAAAGTATCTCCTTAACTGGTATACGTCAAAGGCTGGGGCAATCGGGAGATTCAGGTAGTTCAAACGATTATAAAGATTTATTGGAAGCTTAAGCTCTCTACAAGGATCTGGCCAACTAGCGGTCAAGGGCAATGAGCGGGAGATAAGCAAGTCTTTCAAAGTGGGGTGGACCTAGATTTCTTGCAGGATTCGTGAGTTATAACATGTTTAACCCCTCTTTCGGGCTCAGCCTGGTCATCTCCTACAGTGTATTTTTAGAAGAAAATTGGTTCATGGTGACAATAGTCTATCATGTTCCATAATTTGTCCCTTGATCTTGATCACAATCGGACTCCCATCTCTGTGGAATACACATCATAAATCAGAACATGGAATATAATCAACGTTCTTTCCTCTAACTGCAGATGTCAACTTTCCCCACCCTACAGTCAACCCAAGGGAAACATTTCTTCCAATCTTACCTGCAAGCAGTAAACAACGCCACAGTGGTGAATAAGGGTTTCGACAAATCGAGAGCCACCTGTTGAATTTCTGGCAGGCTGGATTCGTACCTGAAAGGGCAAACCTGTTTACTGAAGCTCCAACAATGTTAATTCAATATAAGTTTCAATTCATCATTAGCTGTGAAATCTTGCTAGGTGTGAACCCTTAACTGTTAAAATAGGAAAAATCCTTTTATTGTCTCTGTTGCTTATTCTTTCCTAATTTTAGATATGGCAGATAGAGCAAACAGCTTCATGTTTTTAAATTATATTACAGGTTAGATGATTGGCCGAGGATTATCAGCTCCAGAGACAATCCACTTTGTAGGTCTAGACTAGGGGTCTCCAATTTTGGCAACTTTTAAGACTTGTGGACTTCAACTCTTAGAATTCCACATCCTTAATTCCCCACAAGTCTTAAAGTTGTCCAGTTTGAAGACCCCTGGCTGGGATCTAATCTTACAAGTACTTTGCTGTGATGGCTGAATCCGCCCTCCCCCCCCAAAATATAGCACAGAAACATTTGAGACAACCGCATCTTTTAGCTCAGTGGTTCTTAACCTTTTTGAACGAATCGCCCCCTTGAGCCAATGAGGAAGTTGTCATCGCCCCCCTCCCCTAACATAACTTCTCAATCACAACATAGGAAATAATTCTTCAATTTATGCAAACACTTTTTTTTTGTTTTCTTTAAAATTGTCATCAGGATATATCGATGCAAATAATTTATTTCCAGTCTTTTCCCCATATCTCCCATATTCTGGCCAATGGCGCGCCACTGTATGGGTAGAGGCTGCTGCGCAATGCGCATGAAGATAAGCGATGCGTATTCACATATGTACAGCGTTCTGTACTGAAGCTAGCTGGAGGAACATTTGAAAACACAATTCAATCCATCAATAGTGATCATCTGATGTTTTGGTATGACAGA